ATAGGAGGGGTGTTCAGTATAACAGGTTGATCATATAGGAGGGGTGTTCAGTATAACAGGTTGATCATATAGGAGGGGTGTTCAGTATAACAGGTTGATCATATAGGAGGGGTGTTCAGTATAACAGGTTGATCATATAGGAGGGGTGTTCAGTAATAGAGGTTTTACTGTATTTTAAACTTGAAATTAAAACGAAAATAAATAAAATATCAGAGATTATATATGTATATATATATTTACATTTTTGACCATTACTTTCCATGTCTGATAAAACATATAATCGCTTGATGATTCAGGAGTTTTCAATACGCAATAGGATTTCACATGATATTCTCGGTAATTCATATGATTAAAATCATGTAACTCTAGCTACTTGCTAACATTCATTTGCTTTTTCTACGAAGTTCAATATTAAAGGCATTTCCGAGAAGTTTTTAAATTTTGTTTCGCACAACAGCTGCTTAACTATATTCATAAGTTTCAAACAGCACCATATTTCTCAACAAAGATAAACGAATTAAGTGATAAAAAACGATCTCACCATATCTTCATCTGAGACCTCATCGTCTCCCCCAAAATTGATTTTTCTATGTTAGGGGTGTCAGCATTCCCCGTTCCCAAGCGTTCCATTCCTGGGAACGGAACGCATTTTAAACTGTATTATATGAGATTTTTCCGAACATAGTTAAGTTGCTGACATACAATTATTTACATATTAAGCGAAATGATTACCCGTTCCCGGAACGAAGAATGGGGAACGCGTGCTGGCGTTCCCATTTCCAGAACGGGGAACGCGATTTGCATTCCCCGTTCATGAATGGGGAACGCCACTGAATCTTTGGCTGTTTTTACAAGTATAAGTCGCATTTCATTCTTCTGGTGGCTAATAAACAACCGGAAGAGGTATATTTTGCAGCGTTCCCCGTTCCTAGAACGGGAACGCAGACTCCGTTCCCGTTCTTTGGAACGGAACGCAAAAGTGACACCCCTACTTTCATATCGAACATCGTTTGAAGATATAACTTTTTTCTTTGTTTTTATAGCAGTTGAAATAAACATGAGCAAAAATTAGTGAATCATGCTGTATGTATGTTTTTGTCGTGTCTGTTGGAAAGATAATTCCATAGAAAGCACGTTCGCTACTGGAGATTTTTCATAAAGTGATATCAATTCATCTAAACTAAAATAACAGAATTGTCGAGTTCCATTGTTTTTTTTTAATTGTAATGGCGATATGTCTTTCATTGTTATTTGTTTTCGATAATTGTGCAGTTAAATCAGAGATACGATAAACGAGTGTTTTATGCGGAAAGAATTGTTGAAGTATTTGGTAAATCGTGTTCATGATACAATCTAGAACACAATTATGGCTTTCCTTCTTTAAATAAATATTCCCTTTTCTGAAAGAAAGGGCTATAGCCGCATTAAAACTGGTAGATGTGATTGTTGCAAGGTAATCGAGGTCGAGAATCTCGAATCTGCGGCTAGTTTATCGAAATTCCAATTAGCAAATTACTAATTAAGAAATGAAAAATTTTCTGGTTGTCGAATAAGGCTTGACCGAAGGGTAATCTGTTATTAGTTTCTCAATAAAAAAATCCTGTTCTGTTTTTTAGACAAAGGTCAATTTTTTGCAAGGAAGTCTTTTTAGGCGATAGTGTTTGAAGCAGCAATATGTAGAACTGAAACGAAATAGCTGATTAACATCGGATTGTTGGATATTCATACACATCAGCACATTGATAACATCACGGTTATACAAACAGTTATATTACGCAAACATTATCTGATGCTAACTACTCAAAGTAATACTTCCTCTGAGAAATGTTGTTTTGGACAGTCACAACGGCGCAAAGTTGGTGATTCTTCAGCAGGAAATGGAAGGTAACGGTTTGATTCATTCTGAAGGGAATTCTAAACTAGATGAAAGAATGAAAGTTGGACATTAACGGCTAGTGGTGAGTGGCCGATCGGAGGCAGGCTGACGAGCAACTAGACGTTTTATTTGAATTGCTTAGAGGAGATAAAATAAGTGAAAATAAACTGAGTTTTTATTCAGAGTAGTCTGAAGAGAGTCGATGAATAAATTTTTATAAACGGTGTTCGTTTTGTTTATGTCTTTGAACAAATGAATTGAAAGTAATCTGACATGAATAAAGCAGAAAATGAAAGAATGAGCATAAAACTGATTTCAATTCAAACTCATATATTAGATTGAGATCTAAGTGAGAGCGTTTATCTACTAGTTTTCTGATACTTTCAGGAAAGGGTTAGTGAATCCAACGGATGAGCGCTACTTGTAAAATAATAGCTCAATATCGTTCAACATATTACCTCATCTGTTCCAGACAAGTATTTATTATACCATTCACTTGTTACCGTGTACTAATGTGCAATATGATTTCATTCTTCTGTATATCTTCATTATTCCAGGTCATTGTGGCCCGGTCGGTTCCGCCTGGAAGTTCAAGCGAAGTTTCCAGACACCGAATGATCGACCCGGGATTACATATAAGTAATTCTCTGAGTAGCAGTTAGAATCAGTTCTAAAATCATTTTGGTATTCGAACATCAATCGAATCAACGAAAGGCTAGAAATCGTCGGTTGGCGGTAGTTCTTTCTCTACTTCCTTTTTTTATTTCCAACTGAGCAAACTTGTTTTTAAATCTTGAAAAATTGGTAGATTGCCATCGAGATCATGTCTGCTCATATCTGTAAGTATGTAGGCACTACTAGCTATGTTGTCTGGTTTTTGTGTAGCTTTCAAGGTTGAATCTGGTTAAAGATGATACTGCAGGACTTGTCGTTAGTGATGTTCCAACCTATGACGATGAATTTGAGAGGTTATCCCAAAACATGCAGCAATCTTTTGGGAACCGATCATTTCGATAAAAATGAATCTTGTCATTCGATTTATTTAACAGAGTACTGAAGAAATTAATGAAAATAAAGGCATAAAACGAGAAATCGTCAACACAGAAACTTATATCTTTGTATATGATCAATCCGATTAGATTCTTAGCACTTTACATTAGGTTTGGGTTGAGCGAGGGCAAACATGAAACTTTCCACTTAAAATTAGACATTGGAATATTGAGTAGCCGATCTATTCACATGAGATTATGCTACGATTATCTGTTCATTTCTACCGTGTAGGTGATTCATACAAAATAATGCTGTGCTCAGCAATAAATGTTCCTTCATGACAAATTCTGTACAGTTTATGTTGTTAGGATCATTCAATCTCTTATCAAACGTCGATTCGACCAGCATAATTTCTTTACCTTTATATGAGATCAAGCAATAATGGCACTGAAGATGTAAATGGTGCTTGTCTAACAGAAATAAGTTCCATTGACGGAATCGGAAATGAAATGACTTAATAACACAAATCTGTCTTATTCACATACTATTTCTACTTTATTGTTCACCATCGACCCTCAAGAGAAAAACAAATCATAAAAGTAGTCAAGATCAATAGTTCTGTTCGATAACGACAAAATATTTTATTCGAAGGCATGAAAAAAAAGTAGCAAAAATGAATATTGTTTATAGTCTTCGTCGATCGCTAAACACCGTAGACACATTCCTCGAACGCCTGTTGGAGAACCCATATAAAGGCTGGTCGATCACCATGATGACCTTCCACGTAGTGAACCACTTTGAAAACTGCTTCAAGTTGTGGATCACTGAGTTTGTCCAGAACTTTGCCAAGAGAATCAACAATTTTGTTGATGACTGTGTTTGCACGTATTGCAAGACCAACTGATCGTTCTGTCTCTTTGATGAAAAGCTCCCATAAGTCAATGGTGTCATTGAACAAGCGTTCAAGTCCGTCTTTTTTTGCAAGACAGAGTGGGATGTGGTGATGAAGAGATTTTATCTGTTGTGGCTTAGCATCTCGAAGAATGAACTGCATATCAGCTAAAATCTCTTTTTTTAATCGAGCTCTATCGGTGGCTCGCACAGAAAAATGTTTTTGAGCATAGCTGCATTGTACGACGACACACAGAATTAAGATAGTGATTGCTGATAAAATATTCATGGGAGACATAGATAATGAAGAAATGTATTGAGGATTGCTTGTTTATGTAGTATAGAAATGATTGTAAACAAAATATCCATCGAGTTAACTCATGCATTTCAGTCTCGTCTTCTAAAAATAACTCGCTTCTCTACATATTTTTTGTGAAGTAATCTTCGGAACTGCACTAGAAAAATTGTTTAATATTTGAAACGTTTACTTGTGAAAAGAACTCTCAGAGCTTTCTCTCCAATTCTCCCAGAATTATTTTCACCATTAGATTTCATTGTATATATCGCCTTCGTTGAGGTGTGTTTTATTTTTATAAAGGTAATAGCACTTTTAAACACATGATCAAAGTTTATGTTAACGGGCAGACGCATTAATGGCCAAAAATATGATAGGTTATTATTCATCGTGTGCCTTTTGAAAAGTAATAATATGGATTATTTGAAAAGCTAATCTGTCGAATAAACAAAACACATACAAATGTGTCTTATTTACTGTGTATGAATCATTCCTTTAACAAATACACAATATGATTCAAAGTAATATTAATACAAAAAAGTACTTATGTTAGAACGTTTCATTACAGGCACATTTCTTAGCCTTTGTAATCACCAATGAACCTATAAGACAAGAAACACGGCACAGTAGCCGCTAAACCCTCTACTGAAAGAATATTATTAAACCCCTAGTATTCCTTCAAAGAAAGATTACTCCATTTGAATGATCTAATTATTTGATGATTTGCCCCATTGTTTTACTCAGACTCGTTTCGCTTCATTAAGTCTTGTCAAACTAGCTTCTAGTTTTTCGTCGACCTCCCTAAGGTCGGTAACTCACGGCTAGCCGTTGCCATGGGTCTCTCTATTATGCATCTCACTTCTGGTCAACTTTCAAAGTGAATATCCACGTTTTCTTACATTTTACTACCACAAGAAACTAGATAAAAAGTTTTATTTCATGATTTGCCATGAAAAGAGCACCTGTAACGATTATGATATCGTTCATCTCTACATCATACTTTCTCCGAGTCATCTCTTTTTTTCCTCTTCTCTATATAAGCGCATGTCTTACTATGAAATAGAGACATTCTGGTCATGTAGAGTAGTCAATAAACATCGTATCGTGAGCAGCGGTTAACTACTCAACCAGTTTGTCGTTACAGCACCGATCACAGTGCTTCATATGTTTAGCATACTATTTGCAGAGTCGATGCGTCTGTAACTAATAAGATAGAATTGCATTAAGGTGTATACCTTTTGGCGATATACTTCCACTTAAATCCAATCGAAAGACATTCCTTATCGCAGCATACAAGGTAATAATGACACTAAGTTCATACCACTTCTTGTGATTTATTGAATTACAAATATCATAATGTAAGATATACTGAATCTTTTTAGGTCAGTCCCTAAACTACTATCTTCGCAGATTTCACATCCAGGAATCGTGTTCCACCCACTGCCGTCTACGAAACATTTCGTAACAGATACAGAAATTTAACTCTTTTGGAAACAGAAAGGTGGAAGCCGAAGCTTGGTAAACAAGTAACGCTCATCCTTTGGATTCGCTGACCCTTTTCTGAAAGATTTTTCCTAATGCTGAACACATTCAGAGACTTTGAAGGAGAAAAAACACACTGCGATTGCTACTAGTGCTCAACTGAATCATGGCACTATGTCACACACTAGAACTAGAATGAATAGGATACAGAGGTCCTTTTAGGAATCAGACCGATTAGTCATTTGTCAGTGGATAATTCTCCAGCACTAACTATGTTAACTGGAAGATTCATCGCTCAACGGCTAGTCACACGACTACTCACGGCCAATCATTGACCTTTCTCATCTGGTTTTCTATTTTCACATCACGCCCATGGAAATTTTCATAAATGCTTTACTAAGTCACTCATAGACGGACGATATACAGTAGACTACTTGAAAAGTTTGAACATTCGCTTGTGTCTTCACGCGATAAACCGATTCTGTTCTCTCCTGTCAACGAAATAATACCTTGTCGAATATTTTCATTGAGGAATATCCATTCGTCAAATCCCTTTCAAAACTATCGGAAGCCTGGCAAGGATATTCTAAGTGTACACTTTAGGATTAATCTAGCATTTAAACGCCTAGTCGTTCGTCGGCCTCCCTTCGGTCGGCCACTCACGGCTAGCCGTTGACGCACATGATCAGTTTTCATAGTTTTTTCATAAAAATAAATAGCTCGTTGATACTGACTCGATCTGTGATCGAAGTTATTAAAACCCTTCGTAACTGTGTAGTTTACAGTACATATTCTATTGCTCTGTTCAATTTGAAGCGCTGATAATGTGCAATCCCTATTCTCGAAGCTCGAAAACACATCAATTATGTTCGTTGAAAAACCATTGACTTTCGTTGAGACAGTGATAAA